TCCTATCCGTCCCATCCTACGGTATCCATCCCGAGTTAATCCCAAGTGGGGGTTACTTCGTCAAGCGCGAAACAGATGGGGAAGGAAAGCAGCTATTTTAGTGAGGGGCAAAGGAGTGCGTCAAAACGTCACTGTGGGAGTCTGGCCGGGGCCGGAAGGATTTTTGGGGGAGGAGGGGAGGGATGAAAGGGCTGAAGAGAAAGAAGCCCAAAGTCCAATTGCAGAAGGGGGATGGGAGCGAACAGGCAAAAGGAAGCAAGAAAAAAAAAGGGCCAAGCTCTGAATTGGGTTTTGCTTGCGTGGGAATTATTGAGTTGCTTTGTAAAGCACAGAATCCCCGTCACCTCTTCCCTCCCCATCCACATTCCTCATCTACCTGGCCCAAGCTGCCTTACCTCGTCCTCACCTTGCCAGCTTGTCTACCTGACCTTACTTTGAGCTGCCTTACTAGCTGTCCAAGGTGGTGATGACCTGACTCTGCAACTCAAGGCTCCCTTCCCAAGCTCCTCCTCACATGAGGTACCTAGGTGTGTGTGTTGGAATAATCGAATAATCCAATGCCAGCAAACCTCGCCGCTTTGGGGTGTCAGGATCCCACGGGTAGCCTACCTATTCCAAGAAAGGGAAAGCAATAACTGCTTTACCTACGATGGAGACAACCTCACAACGCAAAAGAAGGGTAATTAGGTCCCCGGCCGATGTTAGTGTCAGCCTGGCGGTCGATCAACGAGTCCGCAAACGCCGCCGCCCTTCAACTTGTTAGGGTTCTTTTTTCCTAGTGCCTGACTTTCAGCCCATCTCATCCCACCACCGCCGCTTCTTTGGGGGAGACGGTCGTAGAGTTCGCACCATCAAACGCACCGTCAAACGCACCATGGCACATTGGCACATTCCTAACCGCCTTGCCTTGGCCCCAAGTCGTCGGGTTCCTTCGTCCGGACTTGGCGGTTTTCTGGAATTCTTCTCCCGCCGGTTTTGGCTGTGTGCCGTTGCAATGGAACTTGATCGGTGTCTCCTTCCTCATACCTTGCTCTCCCTCGGTCGCTCACTACCTATTCACTCTCTCGCTCTGAAATGCCCTTGTCTAGCTGTCTCACGGTCTAGCCGCACGTGCCTGCAACGCCCGACGGCACTTCTTATCAGCTCGACGGACTGCCCGGGCCAAGCAAAGCTGCCTGTATAGGTGTAGCATTCACCAAAACTCTGACAGCTCAAGACCCTGTCACCTAGTACACCTCCCTCGGGACGTGATGCACTTGCCGGGTTGACCAGCCTCTCGTCCTTGCAGGCTAGGACACGGCTCGAGCGGACAGCTTCGGTGACCGTCGAGCCAAGCCCAGTATAAGAAATTTCCGTCTTTTGCGGCCAAGTATTAGTCGCGCTGCCTCGCGCATCAAGTGATTAAGAAGCCTGCGACGGCGTGCTAAGCTTGTACGGCTATGACTTCCTCCGGGCCGTCACGATAGCTATTACGCAGAAGTCGCGTATTCAGCATCCTTGGCCGACGTCAAATGTGTGCAAGCAAGCTATCAGCTGCATCTGCGTCCCGTTTAGGCAAAGGAAACGAACCCCGAGTTCCCGTAATGGAGGGCGAATGGTCAATAGCGTCGCGCCTGGACTTCAGCCCCCAAGGGAGGATCGGGGGGCTTGATCCCGGTCCACCGCGTGGCTCATGACTTGCGATGATTCCTTCAATACGGTGAATTTGGCGTGATTCCAGATCTAAGTCGTTGCATCGCGGCTGGCGATCCAGATCTTTCCATGCAAGAAGAGCCTTCCCTTCCCGCTCTTTTCCACTTCCGCGAGTCGTGACCCTGTCGATAGGGCATCTCGAAAACCCTCACAATAGTATCTCAGCAGCTAAGGCCGAGTGGTGGCTTTATGCGGTGCGAGCCTGAAGGTTTGGTGCGTTTCGACTATTGAGACACTGCTAGCACAGGACATTGTGTTGTCTGCCCGCTGTCTGCCACGTTTTCAGTACGGATATCGGGTCATTGATTGACTGCGTGAAGCCTCGTGTAATCTCTATCTCCTGCCGTCACAGAGATTCTACTAGCTGCCACGTTTTTCTCCCTCGCGTCAGGGTTCAGATGGAGGGTGACATGGCTTATGCAGTGGTTTGACACGGGACGAATAACGTTGCGCAAACCACTTGTGTACATGACTCTCCAAGCGCTCGTTGTCCTTTTCACCGTAACATCAAGTGACGGTTCGCACGAAATGAAAAACTCATACCCGTCATGCGTACTCATGGAGAAGTTGGATACGTCGAGTCGGGGCCAAGAGATATTTCTTTCTTGGTGGTGGGCAAAGCTCCAATCAGACTTGTCTCGGGGCGGACCCGGACCCTCGTGGAGAGGGAGCCCTGACGCAGGTTTGATATGACTGCATCTCGTCCTTCTGAAGTTGATAAGATCGACAAAAGAAGATGGCAAACCCCCCCTTGCGCTTAGGAGAAGTTCCGGATGATAAAATCCCATTTTTTTCTTCTCAGGATCCTGAGAAGAAATGGGTGTCAGGCTCCGCATTATTGACGTGGACGTGGCTCCTCCAGTCGGTCCAGATGCAACATCGGCTGTGTTGGCTTCGACAATTGTTCATTCTGTCTTTCTTGGCTGGGCTACGTAAAGCAGCCGTAGTTAAATAAGGTCTTGAACCTCAAAGCCACGACTTACTCAGTCGTCAGTCGGTTGCAAGGAATTTCCTATGCGTACTTTGAACGTCCAGGTCCTCCCTCGAAATCGACTGTGCACGGTTTCATCAACCCGAAGCCTAAAAGCTTAGTAAATGTGTGTTGGCATAAGGGCTAGACCGCCTCACTTTGTCCTCTGCTCTTCAAGAAGAAACCGAATGTTGCAGCAACTCCTGTGCTCTTTGGCTGCGTGGTGTTATGGAGCATTCAAAATGTTCCGGATGACTGTCGGTTTGACGTCAGAATTTCAAAAGTTTTTGACACTTATGGAGCAGCACACAAACTCACCAGGTTCCACCATTGGTGAAGGCAACCTTGGGCTCCATGACCTGGCCATCTTGTCCGACTTTCTTGCCAAACTTGAGAGTGGCAAGCATTGTTGCAACTGCTATCCAGACGCTGTTGTCTGCCAGAAAGCGTCCGACGCAGACTCGGCGTCCGAAGCCAAACTGACCAAGCGGCAAGGGCTCACCATAACCTCCAGAAGACTCTGGTTGGTATCTGTCCGGGTTGAAAGACTTGGGGTCCTGGTACACCCGCTCGTCCTGAGTCATTGCGCTTGAATTGAAGAAGACGATAGACCTGGGGAAAGCATTCAGCACTTCCTTCTAGAAGCATGCAGCTTTTCGGCCCGTTGAGGGGTGAAAGAGGGGCAAGTGAACCTACCCTTTAGGGATGAACATGCCGTTATAGACGTCGTTCTCGAGAGATTTGTGGGGAATTCCTAACGGTGCCAATGGCGACCATCTGTTTCTTTCTCGTCAGAAGCTATCCCACGTGGGTCAGGACCTGAGTAGTATGAGCAAGCTTACCGGTAGACTTCCTGGACAATATGGTCAATGTATTGGAGGGATGGCCTGTCTGAAAGATCGGGCAGTCTATCAGGCCCGACCACGCGATCGATGCATGCCTGCGCTTTTTCTTGAATCTCAGGATGGAGAACCATGTTCAAAACAAAGACGATAATGGTTGCCCAAGTCTGGTGCAAGTCAGAGTCAGCAGTGTATCAAACATCAGAGCGTTGTCCTCGAGGAGCAAAGTTACCGTGTCGGCCCCTGCGATGAATATGGCACCTGCTGCTCCCTTGATGTCGTCAAGTGACCACTCATTATAGAGTCCTCTCTTGGCGTTGGAAGTATAGGTTTCCAATAACCTATGTGCGAAGGAAGGGCTGTCCTTGCCGCGAGCCTTGACTTGTTAGTGCTGCGGGCGTGGGCTTGACTAGGAGCATACACTCACCAACTCTTCGTGCGCAACAGCAAACGGAACGTCATGCAACTTCCGTATAGCCCATCCCCATTCTCGCGCAAATTTCAGCGACCAGTCTCGAACTAGCCATACGGGCAAATGACGAGCTATAACAACGGCGGAGGTTACTAAAGGAGCGAGAGTCGGGATTGTGTTACATCCGTAACTTACCAGGGGGGAAGATGTCGACGATGCTGTTGGCGGGTACGCCGCCGTTCCCAGTCACGTACATGGCATCCTCGGCAATCTTGACGTACGGATCGTCATCCTTGTGAACGTCGACTCCATAGCTCACTTTGAGAACGATGGCAACGGCGAATCTGTAATGGTTAGCTAAGAAACAACAATTTCAAGGCTAAGAATCGGTTCACCTTTTCATGGACATTTGCCAGCTGTCAGGGTTGCTAATGATGCCATGGACGGACTTGCGGGCCTCGACGACCTGCAGAGGGTACCACTGCCGGACATTGGTGTTACTGAAAGTGGTCTGCAGCAGCTTTCGGTGCATCTGCCAGCGGGGTCCGAAGGGAAGGAAGGTCAGCGTCTTGCCCCAGCCCATGCTGCGGAGGGGTTAGCCTGCATCAGCATGCCAACAAGACATTTCAGGGTGGAAGTCGGGGCGACTTACACCTCAAACAGAGTGAATCTGGGCCTGTCACAGTAGTTGGCCCCCCTACGGTCGAGGAGATCCTTGGCAGCCTCAACACTGTTCAGCACCACGATGGATTGGCCGAGAGATTTGACGTGAATGACATCCGAGTCTACTATGATGTTAGCCACGGGGAGTTCTCGAAGAAGCCGCGGGAGAGGAGGAAGTGGACTAACCATACTTTCTTGCCCACTCTGCGTATGTTCGGGCTGTGTTCTCTTTGGGTATAACACGGAGGTGGCCGAGAAGGAATTCACCCGGCGGACCCGGAGGTAGTGGCGGATGCCCCCATGATGACCGTGGTCTCATCAAGATGAGGAGGAATACAATAGCTACGCATGCAGCTGTTGTGGTCCAGGCCGATGTGCTTTGATATGAGTCCATTGGAAGTATGGAGTTGGATAAGCCGATGTTGATAGGGTTGAGGGTCCGAGTCCACCAGCAAGAGGAGTCTGGTAATGTGATTCCGGACAAAACTGCAACGAGCATAGAAGCTCGAGAATAAGGTGAAGTGCTGTTCTGAAGTCGGAAAACGACATCCAGCCAAGAGGGACGGTCGAAGAAGAATGAAGTCGACGCTAAGGGCATGGAGCTTGGGCAACCAGTGAATGGGAAGCCGCTTATTTGCGAAAGACACGGGAAGGAGGCGTCCATCTGGGTCTAGGACACGGTCCTTTCCTACTTGGTCCAGGAGCGCATAACAGTGCAGTGTCGTGTGTCGTGTGCCCGTCGAGTGTTGAGCAAGTGGAAGCCTTGGAAGGCACCTCTGACGACTGGAGGCAAGAGAGAGCAGGAGCGTATCAGGGAATGGAGGTGGATAGGGAGGCAGTGGAAGGTGAGGGAAGGAACCTAAGGTACTTCCGCGCAATAGGAACGGAAGGCAGGTTGCAAGTCACTCCTTCTCTTCTTGCCCTTCTCTCGGTTTTGCTTTTCCCGGGTACTTTCCTGTTCGTTGGTGTTTGCTCTCGGTCTCTCTGCCTCATTCACTTTCCCGTCTTCCTCCCTTTCTCGGGCTGTCAAAGTCCACAAGTCATTCATCCCATCTTGACCCAACGACATCTACACTTTTCACCCACACACACACTCACACCCTCACACACAAGCGCCGCATTCGCATCCCACACCAACGTAACCCCCGGCCTAGACCCAGACATGACGGCGCGCCAAATGCAGCATGGCGTGGCGGGCGTGGGAGACAATAGGGGATCGAGTCTAACGGCATGCCGTATGCACCCTCAAAGTCTAATCCGGCGTGATGTCGTTCATTTCCACGTGTCGAACAGAACGAAACAAACGGTCGGTTCAAGCCGGCGCCCAAACCGGCGGTGTCAGCGAATGCCGAGTGCCGCACGGCAAGAACAGCGCAGCCATTCCGCTCATGGCGCCGAAAAAATGGATGCCCTCCTAGGCCCCTTTCACCCAAGAAGCGGAGGGGAGGCCGAGACTCGAGTGTGCTGGGTAAGGTACGGAGTACGGACACCTACATCAAAATGTCCAGACCCTTCCCTTCCTCCCGTCTACGGCCGTCTACGGAGTAAGGTATCCATGGATGGTTCCCCAGCACCTGAAGATCCCGTCTCGGCGGACGGCTGCCGGCTGGTGGATGGACTGGAACTTCTGGAAGGTCTAGGAAGGAATGGACGGCATGGCGACCTGACAGGTTCCATTGCAACACCCGATCGGATTGAGCATGAACGGTAAGGGGGTCGGATACGCTTCCACTAACCTTCCACTTCTTATTTGGTGGCTCCGTCCTTCGGCTCGGCTCTTTATGTGTGTACGAAGTAGTGGCTCAGCCTCCAAACTGCGATGTCCCAAGGTGTCACCGTGTCAGTCTTTCCGCTTTGTTTCGGCAAGGACTGGGGACGGTAAAATGGGGCATGTTAGGCATGGCATCTGTCTCTCTAACTGACTAAGGTAAGGTGTCGGGTTGGATCTCTCTTTATTCCTGCGGATAGACATCATGTCAGAAACCGTATCGTATTGCCATATCAAATCACTGCACCGCACTGGGCCTCAAACGACCCGACCATGCTGACCACTGTGACCAGAGTCGTTAGCGAGAAAAACTAGCGGACTGTGGGCCCTGTCTTTTGACTCTTTTTCCCTGCTTTCACAGCTTTTTCTGTGGAAATTCTCCAGCAACGCCAACAACCCAAAGATGCACCATCTGCAAAGACTGCAACTCTTTCCGAGCCCTCCCGGTCCGTAGGGCCAATCCCTCGGGCAGACCATGGAGACAGGGCCCACCTGAGCCCCCTGCGACATCCCACGACTGCCCCTCCCACCTTTACACTATGTAATAGGTACTCCGTATTACTGCGCGCATACAGAACCCCAACTGCGAACCTGGCAGCCATTGCCCCGCCAAGTGCATCATCATCCCACCTCCGTTGGCGTTGGCGTTGGCGGGGTCCTCTCACCGTTCGTCGGCTGGGAAAATTCAATGCCTCACATCCATCTCTCTGCCCCTCACCACCTGATCTACCGTTATCTCACCTCAGTACCCGAGCTGCATTCTTTCGCTCGGAAAGGAAAGCCTCAGTCTCATCAAGATACCCGATTTGCGACCACACGATCCGAATCATAAAATATCCCTAGTAGCCTGTTCAGGTTGTCACCGTTGACGACGACGACGACGACGACGACGACGACATCATCATCATCGCCGAGGAGGAAAAACACGAGAACCCGAACACCGAGAAAGAAGATCAAATTGCCCGAAATGGCTGCCACCAAGACCCCCCAGATCACCGTTCTCGGCTCCCTCAACATCGACCTAACCTCCTACGTCCCCCACCACCCCCTGCCGGGCGAGACCCTCACCTCGAACTCTGTTGTTATTTCGCCCGGAGGAAAGGGCGCAAACCAGGCCGTCGCCTGCGCCAAGCTCTCCCGCTCCCGTGAAGCCCCCAACGATGCCGCCTCCGAAACCGCCTCCGTCTCCATGATCGGCGCTGTCGGTAGCGACTCGTACGGCGACCTCCTCCTCAAGAACCTCGGCGAGCACGGCGTCCGCACCGACCGCATCGCCGTCGGCAGCGACCTCAAGACCGGCATGGCCATCATCGTCGTCGATGAGCCCACCGGACAGAACCGCATCATCCTCGCCCCCGAGGCCAACCACGCCGTCTCCCCCGAAAAGTTTGGTACCCTTCCCGAGACCCTCGACCCCAAGCCCGACCTCCTGGTGATGCAGCTCGAGGTGCCCCTGGAGACCGTCCTCGCCGCCCTCCGATCCGCAAAGGCTGCCTCTGTCCCCGTCCTCCTCAACCCGGCCCCGGCACAGCGCCTCCCGGACGAGGCCTACGACGGACTCGCCCACCTCGTCGTCAACGAGACCGAGGCCGCCATCCTCTCCGGCTGCGACGAGTCCGAGCTCGACGCCCCCGAGGGCCTCAAGCGCGTCGGCGAGTGGTTCATGGCCAAGAGGGTCAGCAACGTCATCATCACCCTCGGCGGCCGCGGCGTCTACTACGCCAACAAGGAGGGCGCCGCCGAGCTCATCGCCGCTCAAAAGGTCAAGGTCGTCGACACCACCGCCGCCGGCGACACCTTTGTCGGTTCCTACTGCGTCGCTGCCGTCACTGCCCAGGCCAAGGGTGTGGCTTTTGACATTTCCTCGGCCATCAAGAGCGCCAACAACGCGGCCGCCAAGACGGTAGAGCGCAAGGGCGCGCAGACATCTATTCCTTGGAGGGATGAGTTACTGTAAAAGAGGGCTGCGTGAAATAAAGTAAAAACGTAAAATCGTAATCCAAAAACAAAGAAAAGCACATTCCATTCAAGCATCATCGGACAAAAAATCAGTCAAAAAGGTTGGAAAAGTACGCCATATGAATCGGAATTCACCTGGTCTTGATTTGATAACTCTCAGAAGAGAGAGTGTGTGTCTATTTCTACTACCCCTTCTAACCAAAACTGAACAACGTACAAGTCGCGAAGCCCCTCATGACCACCAATTCGTCCAACTCCACCGGCTGGATGGCTTTCTTCCCTGGCTGCGGGGAGAGTCTCCTCCAAACGCCTCTCTCTTCTCTACATCATGACCGTCATCTCGGCTGCCGGCGACTGAAGATGCCAAGCTTCTCAAAACGCCCGGGCCTATCGAGCGCGGGCTCCTCAGTGCGGTCAAATGGTTCCCAAGCCTATTTTTGAATGCGGCTCCGGTTGCCGCCTCACCGGGGCACGTTGCAGTTGATGGCTTCCGCTCCCCCTGTCCCGCACGGGGCTTACCCCAATCCAAATCCACCGCTAACGTCCTCCGATGCCCAGGAGACCACCCATTATACATTGCTTCTGGTTGTGTGACTGTGACGTCTCTGCCGAGGCTTGCCTCTCGCCTGGGAACCACCGGAGGGTTCAGCATGGGCAATGGTTTGTCTTCCATGGACAAGTCCATCCTGGACTTTGCCCTGAGGGCCCTTTGTGGTGTTGAAGGCCTCATTAATATGCGGTTCATCGCATTACGAGCTTTTGCTAGCTCCTAATTGTCATGGACAATGCTCGTAATGGGGTTGTATGACGGGGCTATATTTTGGGACCACGGTGATCGGTGATCGTGTTGCTTGATGACGGCCGTTGCAAATGTCTCTAGTTTTGTGCCTCCTCCAATCAAATTGTCGATGATGTCAGGTCGACTTTGGCAAAAGAATGCCGAATGGAAATACTTGATAGAGACGCGTATGTACTCGAGATTGGAATCTCCCAGTTGATATTCCAAGTCATCAATCAGATCATCTGACCTGTGTCTGACATGACCCGGCTGCTTGGTGGAGCGAGACGATTTGATGTGGACTTGCGCAAGCAGCAGTACTTTTTCGCCATTGCCTAGTGTTCTAGACCATCGTCAAATAGTCATCAATTACCCCAGGCGGAAGTACTCACGTCTGGATAGGATCGTCCCTAATGGTGTCAAGAATACAACTATTACCAAGTGGAACAACTTGGATATCCATGCTGTGAATACATCCATGCATGAAAGGATCTAAGTCGATGTTAGTATGGAGAATAGTACCAGTGTTTTAGTCTACAAACCTGTAGAAGATTGACCGCGAACTGCGCTAGCCATGGTAGAGCCGTCGGTGTCAGACATGCTAGAACAAGCTGACCCATTGAGTGGTTGGCACAATTGTCCTGAAATCTCGACGGCAACCCAGAAATTTGCCGTGCTGCTATCAAGAGCTTTGATCTCTGGAGTGATGGAAATCTTCGGTACGAGCACAAGGGAGCTGCCAGACGTAATCCTTCCTTCGGGAGCGTCCAAGTGAAAAGAAGTGCTGGCCTGGATAGTTAGGGATGACATAGACCAAGATCGCATCGAGTGATTCAAATAAGGAGTGCTGTGTATTAGTGTTGGTGATGTTGTCTCAACGCCATCATCGTCATCTAGTGGACCAGAGATGGCATGTGCAATGAAGCTGTCCCAAGCATGTGGTCCTGGGCTAGATTAGCACGTTACGTTCGAAGTCCAAATCTACACTCACGATGTGCTTGTGGTCGTCCACCAAGTGAAGATTGTCCCTAGCCAACATCCTTCGAACAAGGCGTTTGTCCGGTCCTGTGGTTCCCTCGCTTCTTCCTCACCACGAGGGGCTCATTAAACGGCCCCCGGAAACCATCTACCCCCTCGTCAGTCTCGGCAACTGATCGCGAGCCGCTTGCATCTCCTCGGAACCCCCCTCCAGGACCACGCCCGAGTCTCTTGAGAACTTTGAGCGGCTGCGGGACTTCGGGAGCGGTCCTCCTCGATCTGTCCTTCGCCTTGTCGGCGAGAAGCTCCAGCTCAATCGACTGGCCCTCGAGGGATGCCATGTCTCGGTAGGTTGCTGGATCTGGACTGTAGTAGTGGCTTGTTGGGGTGCCGGGCTTTCGCAGCTGGCTATCTCGTGGATGCCGTGCTGGATAGAAGGATTGGGCGTGTCCCGGTACGTCCTGAGACTTTCGAGATCCGGCCACGAGTCTGCGTAGTGTTGCGTGTGGGTGGCGAGGCTGGCGGTTGTGCTGTCGGCCGACTTGAGGCGTCGGAGTCCGAACCAGCGTCTCGCTGGCCTTGGTTCGATGATGCCGGCTGCGTCTCTGAAGTTGCGGGAGATGAAGCGGGCGGTAAAACCCGCGATAAGTAGCATGGGTACGACAGTGACGAGAACGATGAGAACTGCAGCTACGGGAATTGAGAGGCCCATAGTCGAAGTAACAAGACGGTAAGTAATATACCTTACGTGATGGTCTCTGACGTCCTGGAATGATGATCTATTATTCAGGGGTCGTTGAAGGGTTGTACGTGGTAAGGCTACGTGGAAGAAGAGAATAAAGCTAAGGTACCCAGGCACGTCTACATCCCATCCGCACAAAAGAGGGAGGAGGATGTGCATGCTCAGAAACGTAGGTAGGTAATGTCATGAAGTCTTGGAGGTAGTCGCTTTCAAGCAAAGTCAACTCCATCATTCCGCCGCAGGCACGCCCTGCATGCTTCTGCGTTCCTCAGGTGTCGCCGAGCTGCTTCCCAACGTCCGCTGCAAGTTTTCCCTCACGGCGTCCACGTCGCCTTCCTCCATTGCAAGGAAGTTGATCTGTATCACTCATGGTCAGCAACCGTCTTCGTTCCGAATGCTACGCTGCTTCAAAGAGAGAAAGTTGAACTCACCAGATCATCGCCACCCGACGTCGCCCCATACAAGACCGCCTCAGAGAGCGACGTCGCAATGCCCTTCTGCACTCGATCCTCCCAAACACCTTCCCAGTTCCATTCGCCAGGCTTTCTGGAGACGGAAGGCGCACTGCCGATAGGTTTCCTAACGATGGAGTGAACACTCCCGCTTGTGGAAGGCTTCCTTTCGGGCAGCGGAGGCGGCGCCTCCTCCAATTTTTCTTCTCCTTCTCCTTCCCCTTCATTCTTCTCCTGAGCAGATTCGTCGGCGGCCTCTGCCGCTTTCTCACCCTCCTGCTCCTCCTCCTTCCTCTCTTGTGGCACCGGATCGCCAGGGAAACTCTTGCCCGCCTGCCGCTGCCGTGATCTCCATGCGTGCCACGCGCCAGGGTTCCCCGCGGCTTCGAGCGGCACCGAGTCCAGCACCTTTTCGTCGTCGAACGTGCTCCGGATATATCGCAAAACCTCGTACGTAGAGACCTCCCGCCTTGAAGTGTCTAGATACCCCGGCCGACCCCCGAGAGGCGTCGCCTTTGAGCTCGGCGTCGAGGTAGTGCTGGATGGTCCACCGCCGCCTCTGGCTGGAGTTGCGGGCGGTTGTTGCTGGCCGCTGACCTGTCGGCTGCCCGCGTTGCTTTTGCTGCCCCGTCCGAACCAAGCAGGGAATCCGTGTCGCAGACTGAAGCCTCCGGGAGGCAAGCGCTCTGCGTCGGTGGCGCTGACGGTGCCGTTGTCCTGGATGTCGGTGGTGTACATGTACGTCGTTAATGGTGTGATGAGGGTGTGGAAGATGTCTGTTGAAAAGGTAACGAGTGGCGGTAGTCGGGGATATGTGTCTGGAAACGAAATCTGAAATCTCAGGATGGCCGTGGCGTAGGGTCCTGCGAACAGTCTCAGTCTTGTGCGGTTCCTCTCTCCATCCTGGTCTCCCTCTTATGCTGAGATCAAGTCCGGGGCTTCCATACCGTGCCTCACAAACATGACGCCAGACCACAGCATCGGATCTCCTGGCGTCAAGCTCACAAAGACCCCCTCCGGACAAGCCTGCTTCAGACCGGCGCTGGTGTACAGGGGTTAGCAATTTATACGCTTAAATCAGACCTCAGGGGGGGACGCACGATGGGGTCTGGGTTTTGGAGGAAACTCACAATTCGGCCAGGAGATGCTGTCGCCGCAACGACGGCATACTTCCCATCCTTAGACTCGCCATTTTCGGTTATATACGAAGCATCAAAAAAAAGAATTCAGTGAGGATGAATCTGCCGCGATGAGAGGAAGCTCGTCTTGAGACGTGTTGAACAACGTCTCATTCATGCGTGAGGCAAGGGCGGTCAAGAAAAGCGGTAAGGAATTCTGCCGGCTCAATTCGTTATCGTGATAAGAAGCCCGTTATCTTATCAGTGACAGCGAAGTTGTTGTTTTTTACCCCACCTCCACTGTACGTCACAAGCTAAGGTACCCCGCCAAAAAGTGTTCGCGGCAGGCGTAGCGATCTCGGTCATCTCGGCCGTTGCGTCGGCGTCACTCTTTGTCGAGGCTGGCGGCCCGGGCGGAGATAAATCTCAGTGGAGGAGGCGCAGATTATGGATTGCTCAATTTCGTGGGCCCGAAAGGGTTTGCGGATCGTAACGCGGATCCGCCATGCACACAACAGTGACGCGTGGGTGGAAGCAAGCTTCACGATGACATCCATCCGTTCAGAAATGGAGGGGCAAAATTTTGGTCTCATGATCTATTCACATCCGAAAGATGAAATACCAATATGCAGGTGACTGATGCTCGTCACTCTTACAGCCCTAGCATCTTCGTGCCATGTTTACATGTAGTCCCCCAAAGCAGTGAGGTCTCCGAAGGGATGGAAAATGACATGCTCGAGACATTTCTTACTGGGCCATTATTTCCCGAGGCGGGCCTCGATCTTGCCCTTCTCCTTCGCCTTGATCTCTGCCAACTCCTCCTTGGTAGTGTCGAACCTCGCGTTCACCTGGTTGAAGGGATTCTCCGGGCTCTTCTCAAACTCCTTTCTAATCTTGTCCTTCTTCTGCTGCTGGCGCAGGCCCTGGCCCGAGCCGTCGTCCTCCATCTCCTTGAGTCGGCGCTCCTCAAAGGCCGCGTACGCCGCCTTGAAACGTCGCTCGGGATGTCGGTCGACTTTTGCGTTGTTGTCGGAGCCGGTGAGGGAGAGGGCATCGAGGGCGTTGTCGATACCCGTGGCGTTAAGCGCGTTGAGCGAGCCTCCGCTCTGGTCACCATCCAATTGTGACAGATCGAGTCCACGTGTCTTCTTGACGGCCGTCTTGTTATTCTTCGGTCCAGCCCGCCCGGGGGTGCTGGCCTCCTCCTCCTTCAGCAGCGCATCTTTCTCGGCCTTCTTCCTGGCTGCCTCTGCCTTCTTGGCGGCTTCCGCCTCTCTAGACGATGAAAGGTGTGGTCAGCCATGGCACTGGGTTGGTTTCCTCTCTGCGGGGTAGTGAAGATCTCGAGAGATTGAGAGGAAACATGATGCATCGAAGCCGGTGGTGTCACATGTGGCATAGACACATCGTGGCGGTCGAGCGAGGTTGCCGTAACGTTGTCTGTGACTCTTACTCACTTCTTTGCAGTCCCCTTGGCGCCCTTTCCCCAGTCAGCGTCTTCAGCGGCCGACTTCTTCGCGTCCTCGGCAGCGGCCTTCTGTGCAGCAGCATCGGCCTTACGGGCGTTCCCGGCAGCCTTTTTGCTGTTCTCGCCTGCTCCCTTCTTGCCGGCCATGTTGCCTCGTTGTGATGCTGGGTTGTTCTGTCGGTTACTGGTTGGCGATATGCGCGATATGCAATGCGATGTGCGGGTTTGCGACAGGTGTTCGGATGCGTGTGCTGTATGTAGCTTGCTGGCTTGCTTCTCTGTGTGGCCGCGTGCGTGGTTCGTGACTTGCGCCCGGGATGTTGCAGTCGAGCAAGTGGTGCGTGTGAGAGATGTTGTGAAACCCGAGGGAGATGATGGGAGAGGGGAGAAGACAAGTTGGACGTCGTTGCCTCCTCCGCAGATGGGCTAAATGGAGAATGAGTAAAGCGGAGCGGAGCGTGAGGTAAGGCAGCGTAGCGTTGGAGCTTCCGTGGTGGACTGTAAGGTCTTAGGTAGTGTAAAGTAGCTAGGGCCGGTGCGGCGGGCCAGGGATGGATGGGGTGAGGTTGTCAAAAGAAGCTGGCGGGAGGTGGCGGACAGTGTAAAAGCCGGGGATTTGGACGGTACCTTAGCCGGTTAAAGACATGGACCTCGGATTACTAGTTCCACGATCTTTTCATCCGATTACCAGTGGCCCTCAAGTGTTGGACGAAAACCGTCCTCAATGATCAATCAGATCCGGTGACGGCGACCAACAGACACGATCGCCTTAGGACTCGGTACATAAGGTAGCCACAGCATGGCTTTAGGGGTAGGTTGGCAGAGGCTACCTCGTGTTCTTCGACTACCTAATTTCACCTCACCTGTTCATGTCGCACGTATTTCCAAGGTCAGGTTGAACCGACGGAGCTGAAGCAGTGAGTGAGTACGAGTATCTTACACGATCAAGGTAGCTCGGTGATGGAATCGCAACCGATGTACAGTGTCGGTCTTTGTGCGACACACTGTGCGGGCGATTGTGGAGACAGCCCGCTTGCAACGTGCGTCACACCACACGGCCTTGACTGACTACCACCTACAAAGGTAATACCTATGTACGGTACGTGTCTACCTATCTATCCATACCTATCCGTATTTACCTATACGGATCCATGAATACCTACATTATACGGATACTAGACCTTCAGGTGATTGGTAAATGTAAAGGAGGCAGCTACATGTTATACACCGCGCATGGCAACAGCACCTGTCGTCCTTCCCAACTATCTAAAACCTCATTAGCACAGCATTCGATAGCTCGCACGTACGAGGCAAGATTGAGTAGACCGGCATCGATGCAAGTTGCTCGCCGTTAGGGTGCTCTCTCTCTCTCTCTCTCTCTCTCTTCCGGTCTCCATAAACGGAACGAATGCCGGGTAGCATCTTCCGTATCCCCGACCATTGTCCGGATAGATCGAGCCATCTCCTTTATCCAGCGCCAGTCTATCCGATCCAGTCCTTCCACTGGACATGAATCATCTTCCATCGTGTTACTAAAATCAGTATTCCGTGTTTGCTGAGCTTACATTGATGCATGTCCTTTGCCCCTCCTTCGCGCCGTCTTCCGCGTCCTCGCACAAGATGTACCAGGAACCTGATGTCTACGTACCAAGCTACTTATGATTGTGCTCTTCACCGAGTCGACGCATCAGCCACTCAGAGAGAGCTTCGGTGAGCACGACCTGCAGTACCCTGCCCTTTTCGGTATCGGGGCCTGCTATCGTAGGTCCGTCGAGTTGTGCCACGTGCAGCTGGCTTTCTGGGAGGCTTAGAGCTTGCAGGGATTGAGACGTTGTTAGGTCTGACAGTTTTGCATACGTTTTGCCAGGGTTGTATTTCTTTGTTCACTGGACGTTTGACCCTGGATAGATCTCTCCCAGGCTCATCGGACCGCGCCCAAGTAGGTAGTCGGCTGAGTCCTTGGTGCTAATGCAGTGTTGCCTCTTCACCATGCCAATCCTGACTCCCCGTCGGCAGTGTCAGAAATGGAAATTTCTGTTCTTCTGTTACACAAAACAGCGCGACAGTGGTCCGTTGGCTTGTTTCGCGCCCAACAGCTGGGTGTTGACCAACCGGAAATCAGCGGCCACGTCTTTGCAGCAGGTCACCCTGGTCTGCCCGGATCATATACGCTGTGACAGCCAAATATCTCGCGCAATAATGGTGATCAATGTCCGGATAACGTGCATGAGCCCAACCTTTTTGCATGATCATGGACTCAGTGCTGGAGTGACAGGCCGACGGTTGCCGAAGGCGCATTCATCGCCAGTCTCTACCAGTCTCGGCTAGACAAATGCCACAGTGAGTGATGAGGGATACAGGAAAGGGGGCAGACATCGCCCTGATTGCTTTCTGAACACTGTACAGTATATCCTCGGGTTCGGATACCTCCTCTGTATACTTTTGTCTGCTGACAAAGATGGGGATAAGAAACGAGCAGTAGTAGACGAGAGCGTCAGCAGAGATAAATGCGACTCGATCCTTGTGGGGAGCAGAAGACGGGCCAGCTCGCCACCACGCATCTACAAGCCCAACTCAGGTGTCTTCTGTCAGTGATATCATAGCGCGCGTCTCTGTCCCCAGGGTGTAGAAATTCCATGACCTTTCGTGTCCACGTCAGCCCTCCGCTCTGACGTGTCCGCAATGTTGTGGTGCTGTGTCGTTGATTGACCATACGGAAGAGCGCCTGACACAGGCTCCATGACCTTCAGCATCCTAGGAGCGGATCAAATTCCCGTCGGTAGAAGTTCCAGAATAGTCTCGGATAATTCAGAACACTTTCACCCCTGAGCCTTGTTTAAGGTGGCCCCAAGGCTTCCATGGCCCGGCCCGTCAAAGTTTGTTGCCTAGGGCTAGCCAACCGTGGCATATGCCTTGATCTGAACTTCGGTGAGTCAACGGGCGAACCACCTTTTTGAGCAGGGTCTAGGAAGTCGTCGACAATCTTGAGGCTCACGGTCCCTTGGGTTGATCTAGAATTTTGCTGCGGTCTAATCAGCGGTGTAAGCAAGTAATCACTGGCTCTTAAACCTAGGGTGGGACCCATGGCAGCCACGTATCGCAGCAACCGTAACGTCACCTCGTTGTTGTTCTCTTTGGAGTATTGAGCGCAGAGGCATCCGGACGCCCCGGACCCCTAGTCAACCACGGGAGGCTTGAGGGCAGCCAGCCAGCCATTTCGATTTTCCAAGGTCAAGCACGGATGCCAAGGCGAGAGAGCAAGGCGATCGAACCCAGGTATATTGCTCTTGTTCAGGCAGCCTGTGGAGGTCTCTACACGACGGCTGGTCATGACAACAGTCGCGTGACACGAAGTTGCTATCCTCCCGGGGCGCTTAATATCGCCTGCCAGGCTCGAAGAATACCCGTTGAAGGTATCTGTATCCGTAAGGATACACTCGCGGACTGACGGAACCAAAAAAGAAAAACACGTGTGGTATAGACCTTAAAGCCCTGTCTGGATATAGTTTGAGTCCGGAAATTCCGCTCCTGGGGAGCAGGCTAGGATGTCAAGTCCCCTTGCTCTTGCAATCTCCCAGCTCACGGCGTCAATGTAAGAAAAGAGATGGGCTTGCAGGCGGTGAGAGATCTACAGGGCTGTAACGAGTTGGTAAGTGACATGTCACATATCGATTACGGGGAAAACTTACCAGGGGGCGCGCGCGCAGAACCCAATGTGGGAGTCAAGCTTTAAGGCTTCCAGCTTAGTGATTCTGCGGTGGAGAAGTACCCTCTTTCCCAGACACAAGAAACCCCGTATCTGGCGACCTACCGAGCCGGTGAGTCGACTGACCGAAGGTGAGGAATCCGTAGGGAGTACTTCGTATCCGTACTCATCCTTCTTTCGTCACTCGTGTGTCTGGACAAGGATTCCTGAACCCAAAGTTGCGCTGGATCCGATCATTTCCATCAGCCATTGGTAGCAAAAGCAAGCGTTCGAAATTATAACGACAGGGCTTGATGGTACTGAAAGTTTCCGCGACCGCCACCTGGCCAGAATTAGCTGTTGCCCGTCGATACGGTCATTGACCATAATTTGATTCCTTCCCAAAGATCAATAACACGACAAAGTCTACACTCCTCCACAACATGATCATTCAGTATACCTTTCCTTATCTCATAAATGAAGCCGAGTTTCACAAGCCATAGATATATGCACTAAAGAGGCAGCAGATGAGCCTATTCGTATGAGGCTGCCGAGAAGCCCCGTTGATAGAAACTTGCGCCCAATCATAGGTCCCGCATTCAAGGTGTACCATCAAGCGCGTGAGATGCTGCAATGTGTCTGTATCAAGAAGCTAAAGTTATCATAAGCTCAAAGGTGTGCGCAGCTCACAGTCGGCGAAACTTATCACTTCAGTTAGGTGCGGTGCAGCATTCGTACGTACCTCAAAAATAAAAGTCGTAAAAACGAAGACCAATCCTCGCACAACGGAATTGAACCATAGCAACTCCCCGGCGTGGGCTCGAACCACGAACCTCCAGATTAACAGTCTGACGCGCTAGCCAATTGTGCCACCGGGGATACTCGAAATGAGTTAGTAAGGAAAGGGCCTTGGTCGTGGAGTCTGCATCGTTTCCAGTACATATGGATGGCGGAACCTCATCACTGTTCAGAGTTCGAAATTGTGCTCCAGGGTTAGGGCGTTTGTGAAGCGGGAACATGCCGTGGACGGTATCGGGCCGCCCCATAGAAGTGGGTAGTGAATACTGCTGCAGACGAAACCTGTGCTGTTTGCAGCAGCGTATTACTTGGTCGCATCCAAAGATACGTCCCACGATGTTGACCATCCGAGTTGCAGTGTGTCGGAGCAACAAATTGACTCAGTCGTCTAGGAAGCACCGTCGCCGTTATCGTAGAAACTCAATGGCGAACAAAGGGCTGAACCGAAGTGGCTTTGCAGAGGTTGCCTACTTTCAGGTGAGGTTTGCGAAAAATACCAGGTTCAGAACGAACTTCGTAGTTCTTCGGAGAGGTGGCAAGCTTTGGCGACAATGTGGAATCCATCACCCATGGTCAGACCGTCCTATTACGCATTGTAAATGCGATTCTCAAGGCAAGGGTTTGGGCCTCGTCTAGATGCCCTGAAAAGGGTAGATCGGGACAT